GCATCTCAAAAGATGAATTTAGACAATGTTTTGAAAAATGGAGTAAAAGACTAGACAAGTGTATTAGTGTAAGTGGAGAGTACTTTGAAGGGGATTGAAGGTTTGTGCTTAAAATTTGAATAAATTAGTTTAAAAAAAATAAGTTTGGTTTCTTTTGGGTACCCCCTCGTAAGCATCCTTTTACATTACACACTTCTATATGTATAATATAAACTCCGTCATAAATGTAACACTTTATTGAAGTTCTTGTCCTCCTCCTTTCACACTATGTGTTTTGGCTGTAATCAGCCATCATCAGGTGTATTTCACTTCACGTAGCTGTCACACCGCACTCAATATTAACATTTAAATTCTAGATTTCTAATTGTTCATTTTCTCACGACACTCAGCACCCGATATTCCAAAACTCCCCTTGTTGATTTTGGAAATTGTGTTTTATGAATATTCACACATCGATTGGTTTAAAATTTTAAATTCTCATTTAGCTTTAATATTTTAAATTTGAATTTTAAAAATGTATTAAAGAAAAGCAGTGTCATGCACACAGAGAACCTGCACAAAATAACACACAAGTTGTGCTGAAAGCAAGAGGTAGCCACTGCAGCACATATAAGCATAGAGCAGGTATCTCTGTGATTTTGGTTTTTAAATCTAAATATAAATTTTAAATATTAAAGCTAAATGAGAATTTAAAATGTTAAACCAATCGGCGTGTGAATATTCATAAAACACAATTGACAAAATCGACAAGGGGCGTTTTGGAATATTATATTTAAGCTTCCTGTTGCACTCTATACGATATATGACATAAACACTGTCCCAAGTGCAACAATTTATTGTAGTTCTTTTGTCTTGCCCTCTTCTACACTAGTAAAGACACATAGTAAAGATAAGCAGCGGCACGCACATAGGGAGCCTACACAGAATAACAGTGCTGAAAACAAGAAGTAGCCGCTACAGCACTACAGACACAGGGCAAGTAACCCTGAGAATTTTAATTTTTAAAAGAATTTTTAAATTAGAACTGAAGATTTTAGAAGTGCCAGTTCATAATAATCAAAATTGACGAGTGTAGGTAACAAAGATAATGCACAAATCAGATAGATGTCAGCCAAGTAGATTCTAATAAATCGAAACCTGTTCGTAACGACGAAAAGCACAATTGGGAAGACTCGTGGTTTTAAATTTTAAACTAAGTGCAGTGTAACAGCTACGTAAGTGTATACACCTGATGATGGCCGTTTGCAGCTGAAACATGTAGTGTAGAAGAGGGCAAGACAAAAGAACTACAACAAAGAGTTTTGGAATATTGGGTGTCAATTGACAACAGAAAATGAACAATTAGAAATCTGGAATTTATATGTTAATATTGAGTGCAATGTGACAGCTACATGAAGTGAAGTACACCTGATGATGGCCGATTATGGCCAAAACATATAGCGTGAAAGAAGGGGGGCAAGAACTACAATTAAGTGTTACATTTATGACGGAGTTTATATTATATATATAGAATTATGATGCTGTTGAAAGTTATGTACATTTTCAAAAGTAGAACCGTTATGAGCTGTGTTTTCTACATGAATGGCTCAGAAGTAGTACCATTTTAGCCTGATATCCTCCCCCCTTCATGCCTCCACCCCT